AAAAAATGTCATAATTTTATATATTAACTAATTTATCTAACCCTCTTAATCTAATCAAATTAGTTAAATAGGTTTTATATTAAGGAGTGGAGGAGTATTTAGCATTTAGATCGATTGATATGACGGGGATGATTGGTATGGCAGTGTGTATGATACAGCTTCTCGTAATACATTACGTAATTATCTAATCTGTTTTCGTTTGAGCCGTGTGCCCCACCTGTTTTAAAAACAATCTCACAAGGATATAAAATGTATGAAAAGCATCAATCAACGAGATCCAGTAATAATTAAAAAGAAGAAATTTTGATCCAAAATACATTTATCCACTTCTTTCTCTCTCCATTGATAAAGTGGGGTCACTACACGCTAGGTCCCTGTTAGAACCGCCCTATTAGCCCACCGGGAAGATAACAGAAGAATTTCTTTATCTAAAAGTCACTACTACCCACATTTTGTTCTTTTATAGATATATATATATTATATATATCGGTCTAGTGTGTAAATGGGTCAAAATTCAAATACAAACGCCGCTTTTCCATATCAGGTTTTCAATTTTATTTTGTGCCTTCGCCAACCTCGTCTCTTTTTCAGGTTACGTCTCCCTTTATAATACTTGCATTGTCTGCCACCATGGAACCCTAGCCATATATCTCTAGCTTCCCTATTGCGGTTCACTTGTCATCGATCTAGATACAGATATATAATTAACAAGCAATCCCCTGCATCCCGACATATATAAGCGCAGAGAGGGAGAGAGAGAGAGAGAGAAGGAGAGTCGGAGGAGAAATGAGGAGTCCAAGGGTAAAAGGGCAGATCACGCCATGTTGTAGCAAGGTAGGGATAAAGAGAGGACCATGGACGCCGGAGGAAGATGAGGTTTTGGCCAATTTCGTGAAGAAGGAAGGTGAAGGACGGTGGCGCACGCTTCCCAAGAGGGCGGGGCTGCAACGCTGCGGCAAGAGCTGCCGTCTCCGATGGATGAACTATCTTCGTCCCTCCGTCAAGAGAGGCCATATTGCTCCGGACGAGGAAGATCTCATCCTTCGCCTTCACCGCTTGCTGGGCAACAGGTGATTAATAGCTACACTTGCGATCGACCAAGCACAACTTCTTCATCTATTGATTTCTTCGTTTTTAGGGTTTTTACTGTATCGTCTTCTTCATATCTTTCTGTTTATGATTCACACAGGTGGTCTCTGATAGCTGGGAGGATACCTGGAAGGACCGATAACGAGATCAAGAACTACTGGAATACCCATCTCAGCAAGAAGCTCATAAGTCAGGGAATAGACCCTAGGACTCACAAGCCCTTACTCACACTCGCCAGTAATTCCAAATCTCAGCAAGCCTATCATGAATCCAATACAAGCACATCCAATAATCCTCAATCATCAGTCCCAGAAATTAATAATGTCTCCGCTTGCGCAAGAGAGATTGGTGGCTGCAGCCGGCAAGATCAGACAAACGCTATCCAAAACAACAGTTCTATCACTGTTGGGAATAACTGGGGGAGAAGTAGCGGCAAAGTGGTGAGGCTCGAGAGTGGGGTTGAGGTTGAAGGAGAAGTTGGGAAGATTACGGGGGAGGAAGATGCCCTATCTTCTTTTCTGGAATCTTTGATCAACGACAACGAAGTACTTGGGAATCAACAGACGACGCAGGCTGTCGTCGACCACCAAGTATTTCCGGCCCCGCCGCCACATCCAATGGCTTCTTCTTCCCAGCAATTTTTCGATCTTTCCTTCTGGGAAGCTGAATTCCAGAGTTTCGGAGGCGATCAACAGTATGGTTGCTCCTTCAAGTAATCATCATCACTCGCTCTCTACTTGTGAACCTGCAAAGATTATGCGGGTAATATGTATATGTTATAGCTACCTAGTATGCTAAATTAATTTGTTCAGCAACTGTGATTTGCTTTTGTTATTGTGTTTGGATAAGGGTCCTGTTCCTTATATAGTGAACCAGTCAATCTGGGCAGTCGAATTTGTGTAAGACTATTTGTGCACGAACCTTCAAGTATACCATATGGATATCATTGTATCCTACAGTCTCTTAAAAGCTGTAAACATTGTGTTAGGTTTGCTTCCTTTCTTGTATTGTGAAAGTACATTCGACATATTTGATTAGCATTCTAAATATTGCTATACTGGCGCCAGTAGATTTTAATTTCCTTGCTTTTCTGTGTGGGCGTACGTGTGTGGTGATCTATGATCAGTGTCTTCGATCAACAGCCATGATATACAAAAGCCATACATATATATACGACGGCTAACCATTCGATTAATTAATTTCTATCTCGAATAAATCATGACACATATAATGATTCTTCATCGACTTTGTTGATTCTAGAACCAAACGGAAAAAATGGGATCCTCCAAGGATGGTTAGTAACCCAGATATGTTGATTAATCCCATCGGAGAAGATGAGTTTATGATTATAAACAGTTATGAGTTATGAACTACATGCATTTAATTCGAAAGTTCTGGTCCTATGAACATGTTTTATCAGACAACAATGTATGCAATGTAAACAACCGCCCCCAGATCAGAGGCTTTTCGCCGAGTGCATAACTCATTGTTCCCAATCAGTACGTAGCTATTCTACCACTGCATGTGAATGTGAATGTGAATATTTATGGCGCGCGCGCATTTAATTTGTGTGTGTCAGTGTGTGTATGAAATTTTTTTAATTTTTATATCCAAAATACAAATATTAAATATAAAAGAAACTGACAAAAGTCGATGATATTTTAAGACTGCACATATATAATTTGAATCATCATGTAATGTCGTATTATATATCTAGTATACAAGTGTTTAATAACATGGACATCGCATCGATATTGCGCACTAGCCTTTCTAAACATAGTAAACATCTTCGTAGAAATCTCGTGTTGTCATATATTGACCATTGCTTTTCCCCTTTTGTGTGTGTTGTTGTTGTTGAATGATGATGTTTGAGGTGACATTAATTGGCTGTGAAAAATGGAGCATTTGAATTACTATCTTCGTGTCTTAATGTAAGACTGAACTAGCTAATTTAAAGAAATTAATGAAGTTACTAAGTTACTTTTAAGTATTTATATTTATTATTATTTTTCAAATTAATTTATCTCACTTATAAATTAACATATAATCTAATGATATAGATAAGTATTTAACAAAGATCATGTGATATATGTTATAATTAAACAATTTAATAACTACTTTTTTAGTTTTTTAAAATCAATTAATTGGGTCTTATATTAAGAACAGGCCGAATTAGAGGAGGAGGTAGTATAAGTAACATATCTTTTTCTTTTATATGATGTCATCAACATCTTTAATTCATGCGAAGCTGTCAATCGGAGCTTATAAAAGAGGGGAGAGGAGAGCAGAGAAGAAGAAGAAGAAGAAGAAGAACGATAATATTGACTACACACCATATTTTTTTTTTTTTTTTTTGACCGGACTACACACCATAATTTGAAGTTTTAAAGCAATGTATAAATACACACACAAATATTTTGTTTTCAAAAGGCGTACGGAAAGAGTCTAAAAAACTCATACCGACATATCTATCTACTCCTCCGGTCCTTATTATAAGACCCAATTTGACTTTTTATTTGGTCCTAATTATAAGACCCAATCCATTTTTTCTCTTATATTTATACATTTTTTCCAAGATAATTCTTCTAATAATGATAGTTTTAGCCAATATACTTGATTAGCAAAGATATTTTAGGAATAACAACACTTATTTATTATAAATAACCAACTTAACTTACTTCCTTAATCTCTTCAAATAAGTCAATTGGGTCTTATAATTAAGACCGGAGGAGTATTATATAACAGAAATATCTAATTAACAATATCTTACTTGAACGTTAACTATATGTAATAGCATGAAAGCCACGCACATGCACAGAGAGGCAAATTCTCACGGTTGAAGTCGAACTAGAAAGTGAAAATATTCACATCTATCTATCTATATATATATATATATATATATATATATATATCTTCGTGAAAGTCTCCCATCACTGATCAGTCTCACAAGTAGCGTGAAAGCAATCTCTTGTAAACGAGACCTACTGAAAAACAAACAAGGCATCTAATACTAGGTTTACAATTTGCGTAAACAGAAACGTCTTAAAGATCAAACATAAGTAGTTAACATTGATGGAATAGAGATACATACCAGGGAGACAAGGAGAGAGCTCGATCAGCAGAAAACAGCAAGAAAGTTGGAAATGAGAGGAAGGCCACAGAAGTTGGGGTGGGTAGGTTAGTTTTGTAGCGTGAAAGGTGGTCTGTTGCAGGGCCGCACGTGATCGTATTTATCAAACCTAGCCAATTACCAAACATTCTAAAGCACCAACTTCTGGGAGATGGAGAGAGGCGTGCGGGGTTTGGTGCTCTGATCGGTCTCGGTTTCTGATCTGGTGGACCTAATCTGATTTTATCTTTTTATTTTTTATTTTGTTAAAGCATAGGTATCCTTCTATTAGAGGCAATCCTATTCGAAGTACTGTCGAGTACTAAATGTGAGCACCTCTCCCAACAGGAATTCAAATATGGGTTCGTCATATTATGAAAGACTAATCTCTTCTACTACTAGACTCAGTGTCCGTTGGTCCTAACCTGATTTTAATTTGCTTGCTTATTGGAATACACAGCCTCGGACCGCTACTCTCTAAAAGGGACAAGGCTTCCATGTTATGGACGCCACGCCACGTTCATGTTTATGTTTATCATGGTAATGGGCTTTAAATGGTTGCTAGGCCCAAAACATGAGGCAGCCTCTAACCCTTTGGATTGATTGTCTATGAAGTCTAGTCAAAGTCAGCCAGCCAGCCAGCAAGACAACGTCTGTGTTGTGCACTTGTGCTCGGTCGTTGTTATTAATTTTACCACGGTTTTACAAAGATTCTGTCTCGTCTTCTCTGGTGCCATGGATCGTCTTTCTTCCTACTCTCAGAGGCGTCTTTTAGGGCCAGGCTCACAGAAGGGCTTATGCTTGAAGCTGAAACCCATATGGCTGGCTCTTTTGTCTTCCTATTTCGTTCTCTTCTACTTGTACTCAACCACCAACTTCTTCATCCCTCTCCTCCGCTCAACCCCGTCTGATTTATTCTTGGAATCGCCTCCGTCCGATGAGATTCTCCCTAATCATTCTCCGACGACCGTTCGTTCCATCCAAAACTTACCCACAAATGCTTCTCAGTCCTTAAAATCTGTTGCTTCCCAAGAGGCTGTCGGTGCAGCTTTAAAAAGTCAACGGCCTTCCTCAATTGGTGAGTATATATTATTATTATCATTCTTTTGCCTCCCTTCCAATCACGTACCTTCGTGTTCGTTTCTGAGAGTCGCTACGTTTTCAACATGAATTAGCTAGGCTTTCATTTAGTAATTATTGCTTCTGGGCAAACAAATCGGGATCCATGTCGTTCTCATCCGTTTTTTTCAGTGTGAAATTTTTTCTTTCTAAGGTTATCGATGTATATCATGATCGTCAGAGCTGTGCAATATGCAAAGGTTGGAGTCCAGATGTTTCAGACTTCTGAATGATGTCGTGCATCCTTTTTGCAAAGCTTTAATTTGTTCGAATGATTCCGGACACAATTTATTACCAAAAACAGACGATTTTGTGTCATAAACGAACAAAATACATATAAAAACTCTTACTTAGCTTGTTCTGTTTTCTTCTCTTTGTTCGGCATCATGGAGAGAGAGAGAAAGACAGAGTCTTTTGATAGGATCAAAATTTTTAATATTTTTCAATTAAATTTTCGATTTAGTTTGAAAATTCTACCAACCAGTCAAGAGAAATGCAGAGCTTTCATATACAATTCTATAAATGAACGTAAAATTTTTTTTTGACCAGCAATGAACGTAAAATTAATACTACCTCCTCTTTTTAATATAATATAATAGTTTGTTTGACTTTTAATTTGATTCTAAATACTTTATTTTTCATATTTATTCATTTTTTAAGGTAATTCTCGTATTAATTGCACATATTAAATGTTTTATTGAATGACACTTGATTAACAAGGATATTTTAAGGAAGACAACATATATTTATCACAAATAATTAACTTAACTAATTTTTTTTAATCTAATCAAATTAATAAACTAGTTTTTATATTAAGAGTCAGATAGTATCTCATATGCAAACAAAGTAGAAATTCTTAGGTCGTGTCAACTTTTGCTTGCTTGTTTCGCAGGGAAGCTGGGACACCAGAGCCATGGGATAATACTCTCCCTGTTCTCTGTTTTGGACCATAATTAATGTACCCAGCGCCTGAATGTACATTGTAATTGACCATGGTTTGATGGGTGATTTCATTGCAAAGTTAAATCATTTTGAATTTTAAACTACTATATGTCTATTTTATTTTATTTTTTAAAAAAGTGAACGACGTGTGTAATTTCCACTCATATCTTTATTTGTTTTATTCTAGAGATGATTAATTATACATTTCAATAAATATATTTGGATATATTTCTGAATAACGCAGTTGAATGAAATTAAACTTTGTATTAATATGGATTGCCTGTTATGGAAAGGTACTGAGAGAGACGAAAGTGAGAAGAAGAAAGACGTGTACCATGAAAGAGACATCTTTATGGAAGAATACAAAGAAATGAAAAGAAGATTAAAGGTATACGTGTATCCTCACGGCAAGGACGATCCTTTCGCCAATGTGCTGTTGCCGGCCGATGAAGAGCCCGGCGGCAACTACGCCAGTGAAAGCTACTTCAAGAAGGCTCTCATGAAAAGCCAATTCCTCACTGACGATCCAACAAACGCAGATCTATTCTTCATGCCTTTCTCCATTGCGAGTTTGAGGCATGATCGCAGAGTCGGCGTCGGAGGAATCCAAGGCTTCGTCAGAGACTATATTCGGGAAATCACTCACAAGTATCCCTACTGGAACCGATCGGGTGGCGCCGATCACTTTTACGTTGCTTGTCATTCTGTGGGAAGATCCGCCATGGAAAAAGCTCCCCAAGTGAAGTTTAATGCTATCCAAGTTGTTTGTTCTTCTAGTTATTTCTTAACTGGCTATGTTGCTCATAAGGACGCCTGTCTCCCACAAATTTGGCCTCGACAAGGAAATCCTCCCAACCTTGCTTCCTCAGATAGGTATGCCTTCAACCCTCTTGGTTGTGTCATTGTTTAGGAAAGAGTGTTTTTCAGGTAAATAGATCTATCTTCTGCCAAAGACAGCTAAGTTGGCAGCAATGTTAAAGAGGGACTTTTTATGGATTATTTTGATGAGAGTATGATCTGTTGGGGAAGGGATATGATTTTGCAGAACAAATTCCGTTGAATAGTGGACAGACTAATCAGAATTGGAAGTTGAAACTACTATGACTTGCTTAATTTGATTTGTTGGTCGTTAAAAATGTCAGGAAAAAGCTGGCCTTCTTTGCGGGAGGAATGAATTCCCGTGAACGTAAACAACTGGTGAAAACATGGGGAAACGACTCTGAAATATTTGCTCACGCTGGTCGACTAAGAACGCCTTATGCTGATGAATTATTAGGAAGCAAGTTCTGCCTGCACGCCAAAGGCTATGAAGTGAACACAGCTCGTATTGGAGATTCATTATATTATGGTTGTGTTCCTGTGGTTGTTGCTGACTACTACGACCTCCCATTTGCCGATGTGCTTAACTGGAACAGCTTCTCTGTGGTAGTGAACGCCATTGATATTCCTTTGCTGAAGAAGGTGCTCAAAGGTATCAGTCCTGAGGAGTACCAGAAGCTACACAGCAATGTGTTGAAGGTGAGGAAACACTTCAAATGGCATTCATCTCCCGTCGATTTTGATGCTTTCTACATGGTCATGTATGAACTATGGCTTCGACGCAGTTCTATCAAATTCCCATTGCTGTAAACAAGAATGACTTTGATGGGTTTGCTTTGTGTATGTAAAACTTATAATAGAAATTCAGGAAAATCAAACACGCAAGAAGAGGAATAATATAGCGTGAACCAAATGTTAATGAATCAATGAATTCATTCGTTTTGTCTCCGACATTGTACAACTCAATTTTGTTTTACATGCTTGGCCAACATCCATGAACCAGAAAAGAACAAGAGCAGTTCGAAACACGCAAAAATAAGAATAATCAATAAAAAATCAGCTTGTGGCAACACAAGCGCGAAGAACTATTTACATTACGTACGAGTAACTAAGCACCCTTCTTGACCCACGGTTTGATGACAGCAACAACAATGATTATGACTACAATAAGGAGTATAATGATTGCCATGCACATCCATTTTCTGGAATTCTTCTGAAGGCTTTTCGCTTTCTGGAGGGCAGTATTGCCCTGCTGTACGTGGTCTACTGCAGTTGAGACCTAAATGGAGTAATACAGCAATATAGTGTCAACATAAGCACTTCATGTGATTTCTTTTCCTGGTTAAAATTATATTTAATGGCTGCTTTGTATCCAAGAGAGTGCTCAAAATACCTGTGATTCTATGTTGTCCAGCATATCCCCCTGTGCATCCACTAGCACTGCTATGTCCATGAATATCTGCACATCATGGAATCTTTCCACATCATTGTCCAGATTTCATGTCTCTTATCTTTGTATGAGTTTGCCATGATAAATCTAAGTATACTTCCTTTTTTATTTTTTGCCTGCTTTTCCCCCAAAATTATCCTTCAATTACATATCTGCCTTGTGTCTTGAAAGAGTTATGCAGCCTTTGATATATTTTGCGGCTCTTTTGAGTCTTGATAATATAAAAGCTTTATATACTAAAACAGAGTGTAAAAATAAATAAATAAATAAGGTACATATGCATGCAGTGCTTCAAACTAAGTTCATCTGTACTGCAAATAAACAGACTAATCTATTAGTATACTAATTTGATCAATCAAAATGGACTGATCTTACCTGCTGTAATTCAAGAAGTTTCCTCTCAACATCTCTCACTGCTTCATGCCGTTCTTGAATTTCAGCCAGGGTGTCTACTATCTACAAAGATAACTAAAATGTATGAAACAAGGAGAAAATACTTAAATCTCAGAACATTAGTTATTGCTTCCCAACGAATAGCAACAACATATCTCATCCAGCCCCAAGACTCTAATACGGAGGGGGGGGGGGGAGTGTAGAATGGAATGTTAACATTCAAACTGATAAGATTTAGAGATTTTTAATAGGGACTCGAGGAGGGAGTAATTGTAAAAGAAGAATTACAATGAGGTCCCAAGAAAAGAAAATAATTACAAAACAAGTCATAAAAATTGTCATTTCCTACTCTGAAACTCGTGCTTAGGCTGTTATTGGAACTTTTTAATAATTATTTTTCTTTCGTGGGACCTTATTGCAATTCTTCCAATTGTAAAAGCCACACGTAGGATAGGGGACAAACCTGGCCTCTTCCTTGTTCCTGAATAGCCTTCTGGAAAATTTGCTCACTGTCTCCTGTCTCGATTAATCTATCAATTGTCTGCACACCGTTTAATAATTATAAGAATAACTTCAAAAAGACATTTTCTTCAAGTAAAGATAAAACTTGAAATATAAAAAATACCTCCTCATCAGCTCTCGTGCCAGTTACTGACAATTACAGGACCAAAACAAAAAACTATATCAAGGAAACTTGTGCGCATCAAATTGCAGATGGTTAAAATCAACAAGCAACAAGTAGAAATTCAAACCTGTAAAGACCCGTCTCTCAACAACCTCACGATATTCTCGGTGGATGGCTTCCCGCAGGACCTGCAAAGATTTTTGAAAAAAGCTAGATTATAGAACAGAACTTGTTTTCATTTAAAATAAATCTCACAAAACACATTAAGATCAATCTACCTGAAATTCAGCCATCTTGTCCTTCAGCTTCTTTCTCAAGGCACTGCAATACAATGCAATCCAAGAAGTCAGGTACAGATGACACTTATGAGAGACAATTAAGCAATGAACTCAGAAGCGTAATAGACTAAATAGTTGTGAAAGAAAATCCTTGGTTTTGACTTCCTTTCAGGTTGCCATAATCGTCATATCATTTAATCTGGTTTCTGGTTCATTAATCGGGATAGCAACAGATTGTGTCCTATGCATTATTTCAATAATTCAAAAACCATGGCCTCCTCTTTGACATGGAAAAGCAGTCAGACGGTCGCTGGTAAGATTTACAGCAAAAAGGTTAATTTATAACATACTCTTTTCTTTTGTGTACGGTTTCAAACCTCTTTAAAAGTCTCATACAGCCATACTAATAGATTATACAACTAAAGCATCAATATGCAAATGCTTGATTGAAAATTTGCATTTAAATTGAGATGACAGTGTCTTTCCTTACTCTAGATTTACTCTTTCTAAACATTCTTTAGTTTCTTACCATCTATAACTATATTCAGATATATAATTCATATTGTTAAACAAACATCATGCAAAATCCTAAAATGGTTGCCTTAAACAGATTTCCAATAATGTCTTGTAATGATGATTTTAAGTAAAATTTTCAGTCTCTAGAGTGTGTGTCCAAGCAGTGGAGGAACTCGTGCGATGAATAGTTGAAGAATCATGAGAGGTCAGTGCACTGTCCAAATCAACTTTACTTCTAAGGCATGAGTCAATGAAAATGAAAAATAAAAATTTGGATAAATACTCACGTGGTTGTTGCTGTTCTTGACCGGTCAACTCCTGATCCTTTTCCACACCCAGGCTTCTGCCTATTTGCCAAATTCTGCAATATATAATGAGTTAAGAAATAAGGCAACGGGGTTCATAGCTAGAATCAAGGCATCAAACATAGCCTAGAAAGATAGAGAGTATAGATCTCACTTCCCACCTCTTTGTCAAGTTCTTCAATTTTTATCTTGACATGATGGGCAATTTTCTTAACCTCATCAACGTCTTTCTCCATTCTCTTCTTAATAGCTGCAGAGAGGTATTGGATCAAGCAGAATTACTGAGCATATATAAGTAATTAATAAGTATACTACGAACTTTTATTTGATCACACAACGTCACCAATCTTTGTTTTCTATTTTGTAGTGTTGGGAAACACAAAACTGCATATAGGCAACGTAACAGACAAAAATGCAACTCATTCATTCATTGATACGAAAAAGCAACTCATTCATTCAAGTGTCAAGGCAATGCAGCGCACAAAATTTAAACAGTGTAAAATAGGTTGGACTAACTTTTCATGGAAGGAGCCTTGGTTACAGCTTTGGATTCCTCATGGGCACCCTGCATAAACGTTTTAACACCAAAATTATCAGAGCACTTGTTTAGTCTAGTTCAGAATATAGAGGCAACTGCAATAGAATAATTAGTCGTGAAACTACCAAGCAACACTCAAGTTTTTTTCTAGTGCTTTGGAAGACAGAAAAAGAAAATCCAAATGCTGTCGTCTGGCTCCCCCCCCCCCCCTCTTGCCCAAGTAAAATGCAAATAAACTGTTCGTTCTGACAAGTTTGTTCATTTGTTGCAAGAATTAAAGTATTAGAGAAACTCTAGAAAATTGCAATTCTAGGCTTCCACAAGTGTTGATTATGACCCATCCTATCACTGCCGTTTATACAGATTGATTGACCATGGGTGAACAAACTTGTCCATCCAGACGATGCACATTACACTTAAATCAATACCATGCCTTTAATGCCAATTTATCCATGCATCATATTCCAGTATCATTACAAACATATTAGAAATCTCAGGAGGCAAGAACAATCAACTCAATACATGTTCATAGATATGGAAGACAGCAAACAGTGGCCAAGTGCAAGAAAGTGGAACAACCATACCTGGAGCTGTTTTAGAAGCTTATCCAGCTTTGCATATTGCTTATCAAGCTCCTGAACCTGGAAACCAGTTCACAGTAATATTCAAATTGAGACATGCAAAATGACTGACCATATTTTATTTTTATTTTTATTTTTTCAGTGAAACATGAAGTTTATATCAATAAATGTACAAGACGAATTAATTAAACAGAAGAATCAGAATAATTAAGAAGAGGTTATGGAATAGGTCATGCTAAGCAAAGACACACATATTCAACGAATTTATGAATACCTTTTTGAAGAAGTTATCCAAGCCCGTATCTGTTGAATTCATTGCATTCGCACCTAGCTCAATATCTCCACCACCATTACCTTGCTCGCGAGGGATCTCAAATGAATCCTACAAATAGATCTGATCGTCAGCATATATGACTCAAATATAAGCCACAGAACTGGAGAAGGGCCGCACTAGAATATGAGATGCCCGTTCATATTGCAGCTGCTATCTGCATGTCCTAAACTCCGAGTAAATCACCAAAAAACTAAAATACTACACTAAGCCATATCATTGAAGCATGCATTTATCTAACAAAAATGTAAAATGTAAAGCACCAAGAAGCATTTTGCCTCAAGAACTTTGTAGTCATTTCAAACCAACACATCTTTGGCAAACGTCATGAAGTTACCCAACTCCAATCCAAAGGATGAATATTGTTACCTGACCAACCATCAGGAGGAGCAAATATTTAGTGGAGCAACTGTATTCAGTTTTTCCTCCTCCATAATCCAGTTTACAAAACTGAGCTATGAATCTCATTGCATTCAATACAGGATATTGGAAATAAAAGATCAATGTGCAGTTTCCCTATCTGATGAACTTTCTACGTACCAAAAAAATGTCAACTATAAAACACTCACATTCCTCACACTGAAACAAATGATTCAAGCAAAAGCACCAATTTAGGCACCAAATATTACTCGACCTTCCATTTAGTTCCAAAATTTTATCATGAACTACGTCATAATGACTAACAGTTTTTCACCTTTGAGCGTCATCATTCAGCCTATAAAGGACACCTCAGATAATGGAGTTAACATAGATAGGCAAAGGATGAGATTGAACCTTTTTTAAAACTGCGATGGATATATTATACCAAAATAAATTTCTGGAACTAAATCAAGATCTGAGTAAAATTAAAGGAGTTGTAAGTGTGGTTTTGTCAAATATTACATTTTCTTTAATCTATGTGTAAATCTAACATTTTTTTTTCCCTCAATAGTATGTTTGAATAGAGGAAAATGAATGAGAAGGAAGGTAAGAAAAAAGGTTAGATTTACATCCCAATATTAAAATATGAAAATTTTAATTTTAATTCCTTCCTTTCCTCTCCATTCTCCTCAATCTCCTGACATACCCAAAGGCAAAGACATGCCTATGAATGCGTTCGCAGCATGACTTACATGGCCGCGATTTGAAACCAATGCAACTCTTTGACAAAAAAGCAATTCTAAAAATGAATTTTTCCTCCTTTCTGAGAGTTTTGTTCTTCTGCATGGCCACGTTTGCAAATTTCCTCCTTTTCTGAACTTGAAATGTTACAACGTTGCTAAGCAGGAGAATATTACCTAGAACCCAGATCAAATTTCATTGTCCATGTAATCTTTTATTTCGGATGAGCATATTAGAATGTGGTAGTCGTATGCAAAATCAAAATATGACATTTAGGCAGGATCGGTAGTTCAGTCCAGGTAATGAAACTCCAATTTCTAAAGCCTGATTAACTAGAAACGACCGCTGAATTGATAGATCGACTTGGGAAAAGTATTTGAAATCCATCACAGTTAGCCAACAGCTGCGTATTTCCAGCCTCTTCTCCGGAAGAAAGCGGAAAGACTAGAGCAGAAGATGAACTAAAACTCACATTGAGATTGCCCACCGCGCAACCAACAAGAAATTAAATACCCCGCTATAGCCAATGCTAGATCAGTACAGGACCAGAACAAGAACATCCAAATACCTCCCAACAAACAAGAAGACTCCGCAAATCAACAATGACGGAACAAGAAAACAACTTTAAGAATGATACGTTACCGATAGAAGATCGTTCATGGTGGGAGAGAGCTAAAAAATTTCAAGGCTGAAGCTTTATCAAAGGTGAGGAAATAGTAACCGATAGCTGATAAGGGCCTGGTGATCAAGATACCGGGCCTTGGAATCTGCAGAGAGAAAAGAGTAAAGTGAAGGAAGGAACGTGGTTTTGATTTTCTTCTATTGGTGTCAATCTGATGGGTTGGATACCTGGTATGGAAGTGGAACCACCCCAAGACAGAACGGTGACAGCTTGAAAGCAATTGTCTTCTTTCCAAAAACGTTGAAAAAGGAAATAAGATATTTTTTAATTTAGTCTCCACTTTACAGTACCTGACTCCTAATAATTTTTTTATTAATTGTGAGTTGTGATTGTAATTTTAGTTCAATCATTTGACTCGTAATTTTTTTCTGCCAGCGAAGACTCGTTATTTTCTTTTGACTGGTTGTGATTATAATTTTAATTCAATAATTTTGGCGAAGATTTAGCGTTATTAAATCAAGAGAGTTGGATGCAGTGTTTTTTAATCAAAATTGATTGATAACAGAATTGACTTGTTATCTGATCTGGGCTTTAATACACGAGACTTTACCAGAAAAAAATATTGATTCTTTCTTTAAACTATTTTTTAATGATAAACTACGGTCAGCTTTTCATCTTGACCATCTTTTTAATTGCATTTGAACTTCGAAGAAATAAAATCACACAAATCTCAATTTATAATATGCAAAATAAAGGGGGCAAAAGAGCCCCTTGTGAATATTCAAGTTTTTGTAATTTTTAAGCAATGGATTCTTACAAAAGCACTCCCTTTTTAACTACCTGAATTTTCTCCTTAAATTAGATATATCATTAATTTAATTACTACTATAAGAAGGATCGTGTTCTTCTTTTCAAAAGCATTAAATGACAATAATAAATACATAATAATTAAATTAGATAAACAATGAATGACATTGTGCGTAGAAAAATTTATTGAGAGGAAATATAGGAAAAAGTTCCAAACCCTTATCTTATGGTAGCATGTTATGTCGTCTCAACTCTCAAGAGTATGGAAAATATTGGTAAAACTAAAAGGATATCCCTTCTAAGAATAATAAAAGCATATCATTACCTAAGTTTGCAAAAAAAGCATATCAGCTGCATTCACGGAAGTTTATTGCCGTTTCTTGCCAACAAACTTCCGTCTATCGCGTCGCAACTTCAGCAACACCTTTTTTTTTTTCTCCCAATTAAAACCGGATAATATTACTCAAAGAGAGGGGAGATTCTCACATACAATGAGTGCCACATCATCCCAACTCTGTCCAATCAAAACACAGCAACTTTGTTTTTTTTATCCTTATTGGCACCTAACTTGGCTGCTGACTCCCCTCCAAAAGCACTGATAATTCTAACCGGCAGATCCTATAAAGAAAAAAGACACCCTAAATGAAATTGAAGAGGGAAGTAGATTTCATCACAGAGGAGCTCATCCCTAACCCCTCTCCCCTCTCTTCTATAGCTTCTCCACGGCAGCAGCGACTCCCCTATGGCCGACAACTAGATACTCGACTGGAACAATGAGAAGGAAACCCCTCTATCCTTTCTCATAACCACAGGCGGCGGCAGTGGCGGTGGCGATTCCCCTGTAGTCAGCGACGAGATGCTCGACCGAAATCGTGAGAACCACAACCACTCTCATCCTTTCTCATAACTACAAGTTGTAAGTTTCGTTTTCTCTTCCTCCTCCTCCAACGTCACTCAATATAAAAACAGAAACTAAATCAAACTCAATCTAAATCTAAATCACCAATCTAGAATGCAGAAACTTTTTTGATGTTCAGAAAAATAATACAGAGAGGGATTATACCAACCCCCATAAAAAACGATAGATCAAATACAAAGGGTGAAACAAGGTACAAAAAAACTTGTCACAAATAACACATTTCTTCCATGAACTAAGAAAATCTACAATCTTTATCAAGTACGAATCAAACCTTCTTTGCCCAATACAAAATCTAGAGAATACAGAGCAAAATGGGGCGTGATGGGAGGCTCTCTGCTAGTGATGCAACTCTCCGTTGACAATGCTATCTTTCGCTAGTGGCATAACTCTCTGCTCACAGAGAAGATGCAGCAAGGTCCAGAGCTAAGGTAGGGCATACTCTATGAACTCTTTCGATTTTTCCCTCCTGGGTTGGGGCACGATTCTTCAAGCTTTCAATCTCTCTAGTTGAAGCACAGGCGTGGGAAAAATGAAAATATTCTACGTGTTTTGTGTTTTCATTTTTCAATCTAAGGTTTATTTTTCAATCTGGGAGTGTTTTTAGAGGGGAGTCAGCAGCCAAGTCAGGTGCCAACAATGATAAAAAAAAAAAAAGCTGAGTTGCTGTGTTTTGATTGGACAGAGTTGGGATGATGTGGCACTCTCAGTGTATGTAAGAATCTCTCCAAAGAGAGTTAGGTGATGTCCCCCTTATTTTTAGAATAGAAGCTAGAATAGGAGTGGAGGTTGGTTAAAAATACTACATCCAATCATAATTATAAGATATCGTTTATAAATTATAAATAAGGTCTTTTAATTAAAATCGGGAGATGATACAAAAAATAATGTCATCTAACTTCTAGCAATTCCCCACTCACCACCCTTGTCATTTATTGACTTATTTCTAGTGGCTTTTTTTTTTTCCAACTATGTATTGCCTATTATTTTTTAATATAAAAATTAGCTGAAAGATGAACTTGATCTACACATAACATCTCAATTCAGTTGTCTCTTAAATTTATCATTATTAATTATATATAAATCAAGAAGGTTCTCATTGAAAGATAATTCTAATATATATAATTGAAAAATATATTTTAGGAATGACAACATATATTTATTATAAATAACTAATTTAACTAAATATTTTAATAAATTTAAATCATTTAATTTAATTGCTTGGTGAAAAAAATTATTTATTTAATTTTATATTGAAAACTAAATAGAGTTTTTTGTTTTTTCAAGTTTAAGTTAGCTTCTTTGTTGCTAATGATATCATTTTCTTACTTTGGGAAGCAAACTACGATTACATGGGTGTTTGTTTTGTTCTGAAAATACTTTTAAAAAATATTTCTACACATGTGAAGACAATTTCTATAATGTATTTTTTTTATACATCATAAAATCATTTTTAAAATTATGATTTTGTTTTTATTTAAACACCTCTTAAGACACAAAAGAACAAAGAGAAAATTGTATTAAAGTGGCACCAAAGAAAATTAAACACAAAAAAAATTTCTTGAAATTATCAAATTAATTTGAAGTCTCAATGATTTCATCACAAAAAATTTTGCTTGTTTAATTACTAAATTACCCTCATCATTTTTTTAAAGTATGTATTGACGAGTAAAAAGGTAGTTGTTAACAAATTCACACACAATAATTAGTAATTATTACAGCAGGTTCTAACAACACATTTCTCGGTACATCATAAAGATTTAATGCAACAATGCAATTTTTTGAAAAACAAAACATTTTATTTATCCTTGGCCCGTAAGCAAAGCCACTATGGCCAAATTAACAACAAATCATATCCCACGCTATGATAAATATTAAAATAGACGACCCCCTTTTTATACAGGAGGAGGCTGTTGATGTAGGAACGAGACAAGTTGCCTTGTTTGTACTTTGCTCTGTTTTGATTTTGTGAATGTCATCCAGGCTTTTGTTAAAAAAAAATGATTATTTAAAACTCACATGATAATTCAACAATTAACACGACGCCATAAGGCATCAGGACTGAAAAAACCAAATCGAGTCTCAAAGAAATATTTTAAGTGCAAGTTTAACAACGAAACTCCTTGAAACTCTGACGATTTCACAGGGGTAAATACCCACTGCTGCTAAAAAAATAAACAGAAGCAAATATATCAACAAGAGTTAGATATTGTTTGGTATGAGAAAGGAAAAATTTTTTAATGAGTTTTATTTGAAAAATTTGAGAAGTTGGGTTTTAAAATTTTAATAAAGAGAAGAAGTAATATAAATTAATTAAAAAATTTTAATCCTATTTTTTTAATTTTTTAAATCAAACTTATTAAAAAAATTTCTACCTAGTAGGATAAGAGAGTGTTTGGATAAAATTTGAAAAATAGATTCTAGAGAATAGATTTTATGAAGAATGAAAATTTTGTGAAAAAGTAATTATGATAAAGTAAGAGTGTTTGGATAGTTGTTATTAGAATTATTTTTTATATGTGCAAATGAATAAAAAAAGTATAAGTTAATGTGATAATTACATAAAAGATGGATTTTATAATATAATTTAATTTTAAGAAATAAATTTTTTGATAGTATATTTTTTACTAACATAATTAACATATATAAGAAAATATAACTAATAACTAATATGTGTATCTATATTTATAAAACATAATATTAAATATGTTTATAAAAAATGATTTTTTTTCCGCTAAAAAATATAAACACCTTTGTGGTTCTTAGATCCCATGAAACTTTCACCTTATCCCTACTCGTTATGCTATAGAACAATTACAGCTTTTCAGTCATCACAAGTTAATCAACTCAAAATCAATTAAAATAGCAAGTGTTATTGTTATCCAAATAAGCTACGAATACCATGTTAACATTTTTCTTTCCTTCATTATTATTCCAAACAAATAGAAACGCTGTCTTTTTATTTATAATATGTAATTAATTTTTTTAACCCAACATAAAATGAAACAATGTTCCTATTCCTTTCATGATTGGGAAGAAAAAGAAATTAATTTTAATAACCAGAAAAACATTCTCTTTCTAATTATGAAATTATTTCTTTTATTTAAGCAAATGACATTTTTTTAACCAATTAATCTATCTCTTTAACAAGTAGAGTTTGAAGCTCCATTTGCCATATTCTGTCTGAAAGCAAATACCTATTCTAGGAGCATTACATCACCAAATGTCTATTCCTATCTGAGTCTATAGGTAAATGATGTTCTATTATTTGTTGTTATGGACGGAATTTAAATTATAAGGAACTATTTCTATAAATTAGGATATGAACTCTCTCTCTCTCTCTCTCTTTGTTTTTTTTCTTTTCATTTTTTTGTGTTCTCTCCTTGCCTGTTCACTCATGTCTCGTGTTAATGCTTGAATGCGGCTAAAATACAACATCTAATAATTTCATTCAAAACAGGATTATAAAGAATTACAAGGGTTACAAATATGTCTATATGGAAAAACTAATGTAAACTACATGGACAAAAAACAAGTCCCCTGACTCTGAAAGCAACTCAGATCCCTGAAACTAAATAGAGTAGCACGATGTTTTGGTTTCAACAGAGCAAGCAAATTAAAATCAAATGAACCTAGAAATCTAAGAAGGAAATAAACCAAGCTACACAAATGAACTCAAAAATGAAAATCAAACCACTAGTGAAGCAAAACGTCAACCGCAACTATAAAGCAAGCAAAAGCTGCTATGCACCAAGCAAACACCCCCTTATGCTAGCATTGAAACGAAAATTAACCAAGGTAAGATGAAATCTAAGAAGGAAACAAATCTATGAATCAAGATAAAGAAAAAAAAGAAGAGCACCAGACGATGCACAACATGTTGGTAGAACAAGCATGAACTAACCAAAACAGAGAGTAGCAAGAAATTGAAGGCAGGATTTCGATGCAATGGAGAAGAAGAAAATACACAAGGGAAGAATTGATTTTCAAGAGGAGACACCTTACTTGAGTACTGGATCTGAGCCAGGGAACCACCGATGGCAAACTCACAAAACCACCACCAAAGGATGCTTCACAACAACGAACCCAAACCAACGTGGATAGATCCGACAACCCAATGGGCGATCTTCTTCTGCAGATTAGAGAATTTTCTCACCCGCACCTAACTTGACGGCCACTTCACCAGTGTCAAGGTGTTTTGTCTCAAGAGGACAGAAGGAGGAATGGATTCTGAGGAGCGAAGGACCAAAGGCGGAAGAGAATGAAGACAAGAAATGAATAATTGAGGGGTATATCTGTTTGGGGAAAAAAAGCACATATCCGGTAGAATTACACAAAACCCACTCTGAGACCCTCTAATTTTCTCCCCAAATCATAGTTTTTGGGCCAAAACCATGGTTTTGCTTTTTTTCTAGTGTTTAGCAATTTTTTGCCTAAACCATCCAAACAGGGCTTAAGACTTATTGTTGTTATTGTTATTACAATTTTTCGTCTCCTCTTATTTTTTCTTATACCAAACGAACTTTTAGAGTTAGAAGAAAAGGGTTAACTTTTCGAATTAAAGTTTGAATTCGAATAAGATTATCTCTACATGGAGAGGATACCTATGCACGATTTTTTTTTTTTGGGCCACCGAACAATTAGTGAAATTTAAATTAAATAAAAACAACACTGGGCCTCAAAGATAGGAGCAGAAGCTAATTCATGGGCCCAAAAATGATTGTTTTTGTCGCGCGGTGAGAGAAATAATGGCATGCCACCGCGCTCACGACGCGGAAATCCCCAGCGAACCGTCATGCACCCACCGCGTGGGATTTTTGGTGGATCAACCGTAGACGTCACATCTTCAGGAATTTGGTTCCCACTTCCCACTACACTCAACGCATCAGATCAAAGCTATATAAATTCCGCAAAACCCAACCACCGATTCACCGATCCTGGAAATCTTCCAGATTCCGGATTCTCTGTTTCTCTTCGGCGAGCTGCTCTCCATTTCTTTGCACCCAATTATCCGGTCGCTGCCATCATCAACCGGTACTTTTTCCATCTTTCACTTCAGATTTGGCATTTGATTTAACTGTGATCCGATCCTTTGGCTTATTATTATTTCCACTGCCTGATCGTGTTTTCCATCCTTTGATTCTTGTCTCCATGTCTGGAAGTAAAATCGGTTGCTCGGTAATGTTTTGGTCAAATCTAAATCAATTTATGCATTAATTTTCGTTTGAATCATCTTGCCCAGCTGATTCGGTTTAGAAATTGGTTGCCACTTGTCAGTTCACTTAGGCTGAGCAGCGTTTGGACCCTCTGATGAAAGAGTTATTTAATTTGGATTTTATGCGGGGAATTTTTCTTGCCTTTTAATTTGTTTTGTTGGTGAGACCTTTGTTCTGCTTTGTTTGATTCAGATATGGTTGGGGATTGATTTGATCTTAACCATGTAGTATAATACCAGTTATAAAACGATTTATTGACTCGTTCTAGCTGTCTCAGCTCAGTTTTTATCAACTGAATCTGGCTGGGTGTATTGTGCAGCTGTCGGCTCTCTACAAAAAGAGAATACCATGTTAAGCAAGTGCTCATTATGCATTTTAGCTCCCCGGTTGTCCTTCGAATGACTTTTACTGCAACAAAAATTAATGTTTGTTAAATTACGACTGATATATCCAACATTAATACCAATTACATTTGCATTTTTCCTCCTATTGTCTTAGTGTGATCCAAAATCTATGAAGGTTAGCGGACCGACTAATCCAGATAAGGCCAAATGGTTTGGTTAATGATTCAACACTGCCTCCTTCGTAGCCACATTAACACTCTAGAAGAATTTGAATTGATCGATTACCATTTTTTCTGCGTGGGCTGTTTAATGCTTATATAACTGATTTTCTTTCATTTTCTTTCTTTTCGAGGAAGCTGCATTTGTTTAATAATAACTTCGCACGTAGTAATGTTTATCTTATGTGTTTCAGGGACCTTCCGGTTCCAGTTCAGTCGAGAAGGCCTTTTACTTCAACACTTTAGATAATCTAGATATGGCTGACAAGACTACAATATCTGTTGAAGTCGAGACCGAGGATAAGAGCCCTGGCGGGGTGGAGCAAGAGAAAAGTGACATTAAACTTGAGGTGAAGAACAAACAGAAGGATGAAGAGAAATTGAAGAAAAAGAAGAAAGATAAAGATGAGGAGGGGGGTGATGGTGATGATGGTGAAGAAAAGAAGAAGAAAAAGGAGAAGAAAAAGGAAAAGAAGGAAAAAGATAAAAAAATTGACACGAAGAAGGAGAAGGCTAAAGAAGATGAGGATAAGGATGGTGAAGAGAAGAAGGAGAAGAAGAAACAGGAAAAGGAAAAGGAGGAGAAGGTCGAAGAAAAAGACAGAGAGAATGAGAAGGGAGAGAAGAATGCATGTGAGGATGGTGGAGACAAGAAGAAAAAGAAGGATAAAGATAAGAAGGATAAGGAGAAGAAAAAAGAAAAAAAGGACAAGGATGAAGAAAGAGACGCAATAAAGGAGAAGGGGAAAGACAATGGAGGCAAGGAGAACGATGAGATTAAGAAAATGAAGGGTGAGGATCAGAAGAAGAAAGAGGAAAAGAAACACAAGGATGAAAAGCTGGGGAAAGACAAAGGGAAAAATGATGAAGGTGAGGATGGTGAAGAGAAGGAGGAGGAGGAGGAGAAGAAGGACAAGGATAAGAAGAAAAAGGCAAAGAAGGATGAGGATCTAGAAAAGGACGGAGGAAAAAATGAAGGCGATGACGGTGAAGAGAAGAAGAACAAGAAGGATAAGGAAAAGAAGAAAAAGGAAAAGAAGAATGAGGATGAAGAGGATGAGAAAGAGGGCAAGAAAAAAGGGAAGAAGGAGAAGAATCCTGAAGATAAAGAGGATAAACGGGATATCAGGGGTGATGATGTTTCGAGGAAGATTGAAGTGGAAGGAGGCGATGAGGAGGAGGAGGACGATGGAGAAAAAGATGACGGGAAGAAAGTTAAAAAGGAGAAGGGGGAAAAGAAAGAGAAGGACAAAGGCGGGAAGAAGAGAAAGGTGGGTGAGAAAGACAAGACCAAAGATGTTAGCAAGCTAAAGCAAAAGCTGGAAAAAATTAATACCAAATTAGAAGCCCTTCGCCAGAAGAAGGAAGAAATAGAAAGTCAGATAAAAGCAGCAGAGAATGAGAATCATGTAGCTGTCGAGAAGGTCAAGGACGCAGAACAGTAGCTGCTCGGACTATACTTATACAGTAATACTGCCTCGCATTGTGCTGATTAAATAACGAGTTTTTGTATGTGAATAAAACAATTCTGATTGTTCAAATGTTTGTGTGAGTGTGATTTCATTCCCTTCCAGGCCATCTCTGTCTCACCTTTCAGGGTGCTTACGGTGAGGGCGCTGAATGACATATGAGCATGTAGCAAATTAAACACCCAAGGGAAATGTCATGCCCTGGCACCGATAATATGAGATAATTTACATGTAGCAAATTAGTTCTTAGACTTTTCAATTTGCAATTAATTCTCAAAAAAAAAAAAACTTCTAATTGTTGGGAACCAATTTCGATACTCATTATAGTGATGAGTTTTATAATACTTATCAAATCTCAACCGTGTAAATTTAATATGTGTAGTCGAGCTTTAATTATTTTACATTTTTGTTTTTCTTATAGATAATCTAAAATAAAGGTAATCTTTTTAACTGTAAGTTTTTTTAAAAAAATAATTTTTTATTTAAAAATTATTAGTTAAAAATTTTAAATCTAGATCATTAAAATTGTATGTATTTGAATGGTGTAGATTTTACTGCAGTATAATGATCTTATCTGCATTGCTTTAAGAATGGTCTTAATTTGCTATTGTTTTCATTGCGTTCTTATTAAATTTTTTGCGGTTAATTTGGTTATTATTAAAATAGGTTAGAGGGTATCGATCTACTGCTATTCTATTGTTCTACGTCTTCTTTGATTACAATACTAAATTAGCTGCCTAACCAGTAACCCTTAGGTTCATAAGTTACTCACTCTTGTCAATTCTAAATGTAGAGAGCGGGTCTCAACCTAAAAAAATAAGAAATAAATATAGAAATTAGATAATTAATTTAAAGAATTAAGAAATTAGTTAAATTATTTATTTATAACAAAATTGTACCTTGCTCTGAGTTCCTTTTCTTTGTAAGCTCTATGACAGCATATTACTGCTCATTTGTATCTACATTCGAGTACATTATATCATGGAGTTTCCTGTGAGCTTTTGAACGTTAGAATTTCGTTAAAGAACATCATTACATAATCTGCGATAGAGTTGGTAATATGGGCTGGGCCCAACCCGCTAAAAAAGGCGGGCTCAGGTTGGCAATATGCTAGCCCGCACCGTTTTGAGCCCGCTTCGTCTTGGGCTAACCTGCGGGTTGGTGGGCTAGCCTGCTTTTTTATTTTATTTTTATTTTTCATATAATTCCTAATATAGTTGACATATTTTGACCCTCAAATTCCACATAAACAATTAAACATTACTTCTTTCATATCATTGCATAAATAATTAAACAATTTATATATTTGTGATTCTGTGTGTAGTTATACGAAGATCATCGTCTATCTTTTATTTTTCATTTATTTGTTGTGTCACAATAAAAGCCTTTATAAAATTAAATAAACATGTGATACTTGTACATTTATACATAAAATATCTACTTAATTAATTTGGATAAGAAAACTAAATTACTTTGAATTAAAAAACTAGTTAAATTAATTATTTATAACAAAATATATTAGTTTTTAAAAATATATTCTTAAATTATAAATTAATCTTCACTTTATTTTATTATAACTCATTACTCAAATTCAAGATTCAAAACCTAATTTTAACATTTCAAATTAAACTCAACATATATTAATAATAACAGTTTTTATTTTAAAAAAATATGTAGGCGGACTGCGGGCTACTTCAACTTGCACCGCTGCGGGCTGGCCCGTATCCGTACTGCCAGCCCGTATTACCACCTCTAAATCTCTAATATGTGATTCAAAAGACAATGAATGGTTCATTGAGCCGTAGCGTACCTAATTTCACTTATTTTCTTGTTGATTACCTCATTGCTTGCGAATCCTGCACATACATTTCATTAAAATCCGGTGATGACCAACAGAGTTGAAATCAAATCAAACAAGAGCCGTCTCCTCCATGGTTACCGTTCTCTCTTCTCGCACTGTTACTCCTGCTGCTCCTACACCCTCTCTTACCTTACCTTCCTCCTTATGTGAACAAATCAAGCTTCCCACTCACGCACCTCTCCTCTACGTCTACAAATCCAATACGCCTCGTCAACATCTTCAACCCCATCACATTCTAGTCACTTCTCTCAGCCAAGCTTTGGTTCCTTACTATCCCCTTGCCGGCAGATTGTCTTGGTCCGCCGCCGGGGGCTATCGATGGGAACTCCGTTGCAACGCCCAAGGAGCTCACTTCTATCAAGCCTATTGTCACTCTACTTTGGATGATCTGGGTGACTTTGCGCCTGCCCAAATCGTTCAAGAACTCATCCCAGACATTGACTATAGTTGTCCCATCGAACAAGTTCCCCTGCTAGCAGTGCAACTCACCAGATTTTCATGCGGCGGTCTCACCGTCGGCGTGGCCATGTGTCGCGCTGTCATTGACGGAACCGCCGCCATGCGTTTCGTCAACTCATGGGCTAAGTTAGCCAGAGGAGAGCTTCTGGGTTCAACCGAAATGCCATTCAACGATCGAACAGTGCTTGATTCATGCAAACTGAATAAGACGCCACGTTTTGACCATTCCGAGTTTCGCCCACCCCCACTTTGGGAAGGTCGCCGCTTAGAAGGACCAGAGCACGAAACTAACACGGCTGTTCTTGCTTTGAAGCTCACGAGAGACCAAGTCAACAAACTGAAGAGGAAAGCCAGCGACTTTGCTTCACCTAATTATAAACGGCCATACAGCAGTTTCGAGGTGATCTCGGGTCACGTATGGAGGTGCGTCAGCAAGGCACGTTATGCCGGCAACGACGACCAGCCAACGAGGTTGTCGACGCTGGCCAACTGTAGAAATCGCCTCAAACCGCCACTTCCTAGTGTTTACGCAGGGAACGCAGCTTTTCCAACTGTTACCTCAACCTGTTCCTCTCACGACCTCATGGAGAAGCCTTTGAGTTTTGCGGTAGGGAATGTAAGGGAAGCACTAGAGAGGCTAACGGACGAGTATGTGAGGTCTGCTCTTGATTATATTGAGAGGGAGAAGGAGATGAAGGCGGCGAGATACAATTTTCACTACCCTGCGAAGAGTGTATATGAAGGGGAATTTAGGGGGAATCCGAATCTGTTTGTGGTTAGTTGGATGAATTTTTCATATCGTGAGGCGGATTTTGGGTGGGGAAAACCGGTTTATTTTGGTCCAGGCTTCATGGATTCTGAAGGGAAGGCTTTTGTTTTGAACAGCTCTGATGGGGACGGCGTCGTTGTCGCCATTTGTTTGCAGGCACTCCATATGGATGCTTTCAGGAGATGGTTTTACGAGGATATTGAGGAGGTCTTTCACATCTCAAAGTTATGAAATTTATTAATCGAACCAACTGATATTGCTTTATATTTTGTAGGGTTAGGAACCAATTGGTTCCTATTGCTTCATATATTTGACCCAATAAAAAAGGATACTGCTTTATATGTTGTCCCAAGCAACGGACTGGAAACACCCTTCACAAAAGCTGGTTGGAATTTTGTTAAACTTATATTTGAATATTTTTTCTTTGAGTATTTCATACATGAATAAATTAAGAATATTAATTGATAAATGAATTTGTTATTCAATGGTGTTGCTCTGCTCCTCTTCTTTTTTCCTTTTATGCAAAAGAGGGCTAAGGCCCAGAATAAGGAAAAATTAACTATTGGGGGAAAATCCTACTCTCCTGGAGCAAACGAGTCCCAAGATGCAGCGGACAATCTTCGAAAGCTGCAGACTTTAAAAATCCAACCTTGGCCATAGCGAGCGGGATCAGCCATGTGGCTCTGTTCTCGTGAGACAAACTTCAAAGTAGGTCCCAGTCAAAAGCCAACATATTGCTAATTGGGAGAAATTGCATTGCTCTCCTTGCTCAACCAAGTGCCCGGAGTTGGAAAACAGGCAGGCCTGGCCTGGCCTGGCGTAGGGTTTGGGTCATAAGGGCTAGGTCCCCAGGAACTTTTTTTAAACTCGAAGTTACCTTTTAAATCCAGTTGGAATTTATTGGACACAGAACCGAGCTTCAAGTCTAGACAATATGTTTGTTTTAATTAAATTTTCATGTCATTGCAATAAATTTTCAAACTCCAAAGGAACCAAAAAAAAAAACTTAAGATGTATATTTAGTCTTTTAACTTTATACAGTGTTTTGATTTCTTTTAACTTTAAAGAATATATTTTTAATCTTTTAACCTTAAAATCGTTAACAAGAAAATAATAACATTGATATTTTAAATGTTGATAAAATGTTCTAGGAAAAATGGCAGAAAAAGACTACCGAAATAGAAAAATTTCACACACTAGTTTATAAAAATTGGTGTAAAAACCCATACTAGTGTTGTCATAGGTTTTATTTGTAATTTTTTATTTGGCGGTCTTTTTTTATCATTTTCCCAACATTCTAAAATGCTTACATATTAAATTTAGTTTTTAAGACAACCATATATAATATTGTATAAAACTAAAGAATCAGATTGAAACGTTCTAAAATCCAAAATGACTAATATAAATCCAAATTTCAAAGAAGCAAATATAAACTTTTTAAAGTCCAAGTTGTGGATACAAAACTAAATATTTCTTAATATCTTCATTATTTTCTAGGGTTAGACACAGATGAAAGGAGCTATATTTTGGTATTTAGTTTTTTAATGAATACATTTTGTCCCCGGAAAAAAAAAAAAAGAGGAATCCCTTTTTCTGGGTTCATACGAGCCCAAAAGCCTTTCAATGCTAAAAATGCCCAGATTTCATGAGCCAATGCCTCAGACCGAACCTGTATTCTTCCAGGAATGCCTCTTGTTATTAATAAAAGTTGGTCTAATTAGTAAAAAGTAAGTTCAAAACTCATAAGGTTATGAGTTTGAATCCCGTTACTGATATGCGAATTTTGTTGATGGGTGATTTGTAAGTGCTCTTCAGACCTGAAAGCATGTCTTGGCCTTGATAAGTCAAAGGACTTAACTCATTTAAATTTTTTTACCAAAATAAAAAATGGTGCCTCTTATTCGTTACAAGCGCATGTGGAGTCGACCGCGCCGTTACGCATGCAAGTTTCGTCTCGTCCACGCTCATCTTTGCTTCCCCCGAAAAAAAAGAACATGTGCTTCCACCATCACCTTGCTCATCTTTGCCGTCCCCTCCTTTCGAGTTTCGTCCCTCTGCTCACTGTTCGAATTCGAACCAATTGCCTCCCAAGTCCCATCTTCTTCCCTAAAGTTCTAGTATTTATCTCGTCAAGCCACTCACGAACCCTTGTTCTTCCTCTTTCCCCATCTCAAAACTTCCAATATTAATTACGAGTTCCCCACATGCATTTCATTTAAATGCAGCGATGTCAGAGCTGAAATTAAGCCAAACAAGCACCGCCTCCATGGTTAGAATTCTCTCTTCTCACACCGTTATTCCTTCCGCGCCTACACCCTCTCTCACCTTACCTTCCTCCTTATGCGAGCAAATCAAGCTTTCCACTCACGAATCCCTCCTTTACGTTTACAAATCTAATATCCCTCGTCAGGATCTTCAACCCCACCACATTTTAATCACTTCTCTCAGCCAAACTCTGGTTCCTCACTATCCCCTTGCCGGCAGATTGTGTCGATCCGCCGCCGGAGGCGGTCGATGGGAACTCCATTGCAACGCCAAGGGAGCTCGCTTCTATCAAGCCTATTGTCACTCTACTTTGGATGATCTGGATGACTTTGTGTCTGCCCAGATCGTTCAAGAACTCATCCCAGACATTGACTATGGTTGTCCCATCGAACAAGTTCCCCTGCTGGCGGTGCAGCTCACCAGATTTTCATGTGGTGGCCTCACGATCGGGCTGGCCATGTGTCGCGCCGTTATTGACGGAATCGCAGCCATGCGTTTTATCAATTCATGGGCCAAGTTAGCCAGAGGAGAGCTTTTAGGTTCAACCGAAATGCCATTCAACGATCGAACAGTGCTAGATTCATGCGCACTGAATAAGACGCCACGTTTTGAACATTCCGAGTTTCACCCACCCCCACTTTGGGAAGGACGTGGCTTAGAAGGATCAGAACGCGAAACCAAGACGGCTGTTGTCGTTTTGAAGCTGACGAGGGACCAAGTCAACAAACTGAAGAAGAAAGTCGGCGACTCTGCTTCACCTAATAAACGGCCATACAGTAGTTTCGAGGTGATCACGGGTCACGTATAGAGGTGCGTCAGCAAGGCACGTTATGCCGGCAACGACGACCAATCAACGAGGTTGTCGACGGTGGCCAACTGTAGAAACCGTCTGAAACCTCCATTACCTAGTGGTTATGCAGGGAACGTAGCTTTTCCAACTGTTACTTCAACCTGTTCTTTTCACGACCTCATGCATAAGCCTTTGAATTATGCTGTAGGGAATGTACGGGAAGCACTGGAGAGGCTAACGGACGAGTATGTGAGGTCTGTTCTTGATTACATTGAGAGGGAGAAAGAGGTGAATGTGGTGAGGTACAATTTTTACTACCCTGCGAGGAGTGTATATGATGGAGAATTCAGAGGGAATCCGAATTTGTTTGTGATTAGTTGGATGAATTTTTCATATCGTGAGGCGGATTTTGGGTGGGGAAAACCCGTTTATCTTGGTCCAGGCTTCATGGATTCTGAAGGGTTAGCTTTTGTTCTGGACAGCGCTGACGGTGATGGCGTCGTCGTCGCCATTTGTTTGCAGGCAATCCATATGGACGCTTTCAAGAGATTGTTTTTCGAGGATATTGAGGGGGTCTTTCCTATCTCAAAGTTATAAAAATTATTGAATCAACCGATACTATTGGTGTGTGTATATACTACCTCTGCTTTTAATTATAAAATCTTGTTTGTAATTTATAAACGAGATCTTAATCAGAGGTAGTATTTTTTGTTTTGAATAACACTAGAGTGTCATGATATTTTTTGTTGCTCAAGTCTCAGAGTAATGTCATCTTATTTGACGAAAGGACGGTCGAGATTTGATACTCTTTATCCATTTTCCAAAGCGAGCATATATCGATATATGCCATACCTAACATATATACTTGCCCTGTTATCCAAACAATTTAAAAGGACCTGATCAAACACTTTCAAGTAAGCGCTTTTCCATATATTAATAAGGATTAAGCAGAAGAAGCTGGATTGTATATTTATTTTGTACATTTCCAATAAAAATCCTTTTCTTCAGTTTTATCGTATTATTACTTGTTAAAATGAAAATAGATTTGACAATAATCGAAAAGGATAAACTATCAAGTGTTTAATTTTGTATCCACTTTGGCAGTTCGACCGCATATAACACTCACAGCTCCACAAGCTTTCTTGTTTGTACCTCTTCTGTGAATGATTTTCCTCAGAAGCTAAACAGATCAATCGAGGCCAGAAGGCATTTAATGTGATGGGGTAGGAGCTAACTGCTAAGCTACTCGTCAGGCGGTTAGGTGGTAAGTGAACGAGACGTATTATTCAATTTTTATTATTGATGATTGGATTACACATCGGGTCTGTATATATATACAAATAAACGTATACCTGTTTAACTATCTTATGTAACACGAAGTATAACTAAATAATAACTACCACAGCTGCTTTGATCCCTCAAACTGTACCTAGCTAGGACTGCTTTGACAATGGTAAGAGGAGATCATAGTGAGGATTTCAAATATTTCTCAGTGGGTTTGGTAGAAAGGCCAAACCCAAATGGGAAGAGGGGATCGTAGTGAGGATCTCCAACATTCATAGGTAGTTGATCAACAGTTTTGAACCATGATCGTGGAAGCTTTCCTGTGAAACCATGGTCACCAAATAAAACATCAGCCACACCCTGGCCTTCACTTCCAGGAAGCCAGGCGGCAACAAGAGCATCAATTGAAGCAATGTATGGTTCGATAACAACAGGGCGACCAGAGATTATGACAACCACGCATTTTGTAACTCTACAAACATTTGTAATGGTCTCGGGGCCAGGATAGGGGATTGTTAGGTTCTTGCTGTCGCCATGCATTTCAGCATAAGGATGCTCTCCTACTACAACTATGGCATAGGAGAATTCACTAGACTTGATATATTCTACGTCGGGATTCTCCTTGTAGATCACTTCGGTCTCTGGATCAACTGTGTTATTTATAGCAGTGAGAATAGTAGTCCCTGATGCATGCCAACACTCACATCAATAACAAAAGTTGCAACATCGTGAAAATATTAAAGAAAAATGGAATTAGCAACTAATTTCACCTTTAATAAGATTATTGCCGCTGACCCCTTGCCACTCAATGGTCCAGCCCCCACACTGATAGCCTAAATTATCAGCGTGACTTCCAGCTACAAGTATTTTTGACGCCTTTTTAGGAAGAGGTAGAAGTGGCCCACCAGGTGACTCACCGTTTTTCAGTAGGACCAATGATTTCCTTACAGCCTCCCTAGCTAATTCTCTATGCTCCTGTACAGGTTGTGGTGATATATAAGTTACAGGGTTATCCTTCCATGTAATTGTGAAACGTTGAGACTTAAAAGAAATTTTTATTTTTTGACACTTATCTGACCTGAATTCCTAGATATTTGACTAAGCTGTAATCAGCCAATGGATTTTCAAAAAGACCCATCATGACCTTGACCCGCAAAATTCTTCTCACTGCATCGTCGATTCGAGTCATAGGAATGACTTTCATTTTAACCAGTCTGGTTACACCATCTATAAATTCTGTATAGTTCTTTGGAACCATGAACTGCATCGCAAGAAAAGTTTATTACAGGACAAAATGCTTAATCATGGGATGAAAATTTAAAAAGCCATAATGGACTGTTAAGCGTAGACGTGACCTACCATGTCAATGCCAGCATTAACTCCGGCTTCGATTGAATAAGTGTAATTCGCACGAGGTGGGGAGGTGATTCTGTCCAGGCCCTCAAAATCTGATATAACAAAACCCTGGAATAAGCCGCAAGTTAATTATCTTGTGCAGGTAAGATTATCAAAAGGGTCTTCAAAATTTCAATTGAGATCAAATAATTCTACCTTGAAATGGAGCTTTCTTTTAAGGAAGCCAGTAATGAGGTTGCGATTGGTGTGCATTTTTACTCCATTCCAACTTGAGTATGAGATCATGATTGTTGCCACACCCTTGCTAATAGAGACCACGTAGCCGGGCATGTGAATCCTCATCAATCCATCTCTATCTATAATTGTGTTGTTTTCGTCAATCCCGTGAATTGTCCCGCCATCACCCACATAATGCTTAGCACATGCTATAACCTTCTCTCTGAGCAAGAAAATACGAGTATTTGTATAACTAAATGCAAACCGAACCTCAAATGCATAGTCTAGCATGAAACAGAACAGTTTTGCCGTATTTTGCAGCTTAAAATGCAAACAGGTACTTCAGAAGAATCATAACCAGAATCCAGCATGTGATTACCATTCGCCCTATTTCTATTCTAGTGGCCCGTGAGGAAATAAATAATCCCAAAATGGGAGATAGAAAGCACGGGAAGTGTCAGTAAATATAAAGATCTGTCATTTGATAAACCGTCCTGCACCGGGACCGAGAGGAGGGGCCGAATTTTACGGAAAGCTTTAGATTAACCCAAGACATCAAACATAACCAGGGGAAGTAATGAATGGCTCCTCAGTCGTAAAAGCAGAGGAAAATAACAATTTAAAGCCAGATGCCTCATTCTACATATTCTTACTTTCCACCAACAAAAGGGACGCCCTTGGGTAAGTTATCAGGAATGTCCCCTTGCAATCCTGATATAATTTGAGTCATCTCTTGTACTAAATTAGGATCTTCACTGTAGCTTTCGTAACACCGACCCCATCTCGGATCTCTGCAGACCTATAAATAGTAAAAGTCATAGGTTAAAAGTAAAATCATCTTTAAGCGAAGGAAGTTCATATTTGTCACTTACTGCTATACAGGGTGCAAAAGCATACGGAATTCCAGTAGCTCGAACTTCAAGGGCAGTGGCAACTCCAATTCGCTTCACAAGTTCTGGGTCCCTGACCATCAAAATAGATGTGTAGTGTCTATATATGCTGAGCCCCGAAAAAGAAAGCTCCGAAGCATTTTGTCTAATTCTTTCGATCTAGTAATTAGTAATTAAGAGACCTAAATTCACTTTCAAAACAAGGTTTGTGCTCGTATCAAGCTCATTTGAAATGATTTTGATTCAAAAGGTCTTATGGAACGTATGTTAGTACGCATCCCTATCGCAGAAAATAAAATTTTTCAGAAGTAACAATAGATGGAGCAGCATTAATATTAAGGTATTATATCTATTTGCCTGGTAGCTCCAAGTCCAATATTGTGAGGAAAGACAGTTGCTCCGGAAACAGGGCCATGGCCATGAACAGCGTCTATTCCATAAATCATTGGGATAGCCAGCCGAGTTGACAAAGCACCCTTCTGAAAATCATTCACCATGTTAATCCAGGTTTCAGCTGAAGCATGCGGAGCAGGACGACTCCCACCCTCACTCATTACACTCCCTAGGCAAAAGAGACGTTTTCCATTTATTGATGTGTAACTATCATAGAGGTGAGAGGGGGTAGTGGTCTTTACCAATGAAATATTTCTGGAGCACATCAGCAGACGCAACCTTGCGTTCAATCTGCAGCATTTGGCCAATCTTCTCCTCAAAAGTCATGCGGCTCATAAGATCCTCGACCCTCGCATCAATTGACTGTTTGGGGTCTTTATACTTCATGTATTCGGGCACTGAGAGGTATGCCCAACCCCCCAACAGCCAGAGCCCCGCCAAGAACACGAGAATTTTAACCATTTCCTTCAGCTTCCTATATATAGAAACATACATATCAGAAATGAGTTAGTTAATCCTCTGACCATGATTTTAGCCAGTTAAGAGCCGTAAGCATATCACTCGGATGCATTATATTAAGGTTCCCACGATGTCAGGGACAATTAAATCGCGTTTCGGGCGCCGGTGGTAAGAAGCAATATACTACTATGTGTGGAGGCTGGAATTAGTTGTATGGCAGCAGTATTTCAATCGAGAATGAGATTTTAAATGCAAGGTCAACATTTTTCAAGACTGTGGTTAATGGCGTAAATAATAATCAGAAGAGAAAGAATACGAAAGCAGAAGACGAGTTATGCAGATGAAGACGGCAATGACAGAACAGGAGAAATTACAGTGACTATTCTGCGTCTCCAGATCCAGAGAATAAGATCTTCGAAGAGGGCCTGCGATGGGAAGAAAATGGTGGGAAGCAAAATATATAGGCATTGTAGGGAGACCCGAGAAGGTAGGGACATGGACGCCACCTGTGCTCCGCATCGACAATTAGATGGATTCATTTCTTTGGTATGAAAAAATCTGAGATTTTAGATTTACATTTTTGAAATTTCAAAACTCACGACCATCGGCTGTACACGAGGGAAAAGGAAAAGTGGCGCCAGGTAAGAATTTTACTTTTCGCTGAAACTCCAGGTGAGTTGAGTTGGTTGACGTGAAGGTGAGGGTAATGATCATCTTCTTGATGTTGTTGGCAAATACACACGCATATCTTCTTGATGTCGATGTGGTTGTTATCTTAAATATTTTTACCTTAAATATCTTCTTCCAAAATACTCCGTGTTAGTGGAATAAATAAGCGGAGTAATTGAACAGTAAAAAGATTACAATTGTATTACAAAATACTAAAAAAATTACATCCAGTTTTGTCAACTTGGAATGATTGATTTTGATTTTATTTTGTTTTAAAAAAATGTTGATTGATGGTTTTAAAAAGATTTAAATGCATCATAATTTTCAATATTATTTTATCATGCGTGTCACGTCTATTTTATCTTCAAGGAACTAACCACAAGGAAAACCTTATCAACAACCGGCACGTGATCATATTGAAATCCTCTTGCAGGAAACACGCCTGCCATACGTATTTACTCTTTTTATCTTATTTATAAGTTATTTTCAGTATATTTTAAATAGATAAAAAAATCTAAAATTTTATTAATTCTCATTTAAAATTCAATAATTTTCCAACTTTATCCTTATTTAATATACATTATAAATCATGTAAATAGAGTAATTAAACACACTAATAAATGAGGGATAACATTGTAGATTTATATAAAAAAATTTTCTTAGTGCCTTATAAATAGAACAAAAAATATCTTTTTTCTCTGTCCTATAAATAGAATCAGAGGAGTATATTCAAGGCAAATACCAAAATGACTCTCTGCCCGAAAACCTTTCTTTGAAAAAGAAGTAAAAGAATAATTCATCATTCGCTGAATTTTCTCTTTTATGAGGGCAAAAAAAAAAAAAAAAAACAGAAGCTCAGCTCCTGAAACTTATTGTTTTCATTTTCATCGTCTTTTCTGTGATCATACAGCATAATCTTTAAAAAAAAACTTTAAAAAATTATTGTTGAATTTCAAAATTTTAAATTAATACTAGTTACCATACTCAAAAAGCAAATGGTAACACATGTTGTAATAATTCTTGATTTGAAATTTTAAAATTCAGCCATCATTTTTGCAGAATTTTTTCAATATTTAATTAGCTGAATAACTTTTGTTTTGACAACAAAAAAGCAGCTGAACGGTCAGTATCATCATACGATAGACAAATCAGTGTTCCCCTTGTTTTGGCAGTCATGAATAAACATACAGAGAACGGCAAGTTTTTTAGTGACAATACAACCCATTTTAAACGAGGTCTCATTTAAATTTAGCATTAGACATATTTTGTGCGTATGAACTCATAATCCCTCATTTATTAAAAAAACTATATATTATTAGCTAACCGGATCATTACAGGGTATTATTTATTTATTTCATGGACATAATTTAAACATCACAAACTTGTTCTCCTAACAAGGGAACTGGAGCACGGATTTTTTTTAAAAAAAATCAGAAACTATTTTTATTGCTCACAAATTTAATACGTCATCAGTTAAGGGGACGCCGGCGGATTGAATTTCATGAGAGACAGGGGGTTGTCAGCGTTATTACCTAATTATGAGCAGAATTCAGTGGCTGATTGGTTTTTTTATAAATAATTTTGGATGGATATTGATTTGATATTAGCACATCATTGCGTGGAGCCAACCCAAGATTCTCACCAATTATAAACATTATCATCTCCATTGCGTCGAAGAAATTGGGTCATTTGCGCAATTATTTGTGTTTCATTGGGTCAGCCGGTCAAAGTAATGATAAAAAAAAAAACTACTTCCTGTTTTTAATATAATACTTTATTTGAGTTTTATTTTATTCTTAAATATAAGACTTCAATCCACTTTGTTTCTCATGTTTGTTCATTTTTTTTCAAAGTAACCCTTTTACCAATAGTAGTTTTAGCCAATACACTTGATTACCAAAGATATTTTAAGAAAGACAACGTATATCTATTACAAATAACTAACTTGATTTCTTTCCTTAATCTCCTCGAATTAGTTAACTAGCTCTTATAATTAGAATCGGAGGTAGTATTATCTTATTAAAAAAAACAAAAGAAAATAAATTCTTGTGTAGGGATGAAGAACGCTATTGCCACCAATCCCTGTTGTGAAAATGTTTTCTAATGCATTCAACTAGTTTTAATACTTATGATATTTATTAAACTTCAACAGTTCAAATTTAATTAAAAAGCCAGATTTAATATGATGTAGATTTCACTACAACAA